GGAGGGCCCGGCGCCAAAATCCGCGTGGCCTTCCTCCAGTGTGGAGCACCTCTTCCTCCTGGATTACGTATATTGATGAACACGCTTGAAAGACGGACGCATTTCTGTACAGCCCAGTGCTTTCTTTTCCCGACACATGCATCCATCTGCCAACATCACAGACCTAATTAGTACTCCCTTATTTCTATGCACTGGCTAGTAAGCATGTGGCATCTTTCCACAAGCCTATAAAAACCTCACTCGACGCAGACGTATAGCATATTGCGATGGGGGGGTTATGACCTCAGTGAAGCTGGCAGTTGCAGTTGCCTTTCCGATGAGGTTTAATGTCATGATAGCCAAAACAAGAGAGGCCAGCACCCAAAACACAGGCTGGCACAGGCAGCCTGCGGATGTGGTTCGGAGCTTCCCGGCCCTCGGCTACTCAGCCGTGCCGCGTTCCCCTCCCCTAGGACCACGCACCGTGCACCTGGGTTGATGCAGTTGTTTATAGGGCTCTAATCGAAACTGGATTTGTGTAATAGTTTAAAAAAAAAACCACCCTATGCATAGAGGCTCAGTCATAAAGGCAGAGGTGTTTTTTGCACTTTAATATGAAATGCAAGGGCCAGGGCATAGGACTGGCAAGGAGAGGTGCCCTGGAGATTCAGCTCTGAGGAAAGAGAACTAAGAAATCCTTGAACAGAAAGGTGCTAGAGACATATCTGGCTTCATTTCTCCTCCAAAGAGAAACAGTGCACATCCCCTCGCAAATCCGGCCAGCCCCGCAGGTCAAAAATGCTGTGTGACTATGCACTAGAGGTTATTTTCCTTTCCATGCTGGGGAGAGTTATTTGGAAGCCTCCTGCTGGTGTTACCTTAAATTACCCAGATAAATAGCACCGGAGGTGATGGACAATAGATCCCACTGGTTTGCATGCCGGCTGCTCTATAATGGGCTGAAAGCTAGAGCTAATGTAAAATGCCCTAAAAGGCACCTGTTTCAGTTAGCTCTCATCAAACTTGCAACTGGTGTAAGTTACTTTACAGAGCTCCCCCTGCAAAAATATCCAGCTTCTGCTGTGCAAGAACCAAGCCTATCAAATACCTACGGAGTTAGTAGCACAGTGACTTAATTATTCTTACGGTGTTACTTTGTGTTTCGACGAATTTTGCTAAAAATCTGTGTTTGAGTGTGTATGTTTGAGTTTTTAACGTTTTGAAATAGTGCTTCTTTCGAAAAAAAGAGTTGCGTGCTCAACAACGACTCTCTTGTCTTTCTTTTTGGTTAAACAGCCTTCTTATTTTGCAGGGCTACTCCCTACCTCTCCGTTTTTCGATTAAAATGAGAATTTAAAGAAGTGAGAGAAAGAATTTTCCCATGGGAAGCTAACAGAATTCATATCCCATAGAGACTACCAGCAAGCAGTATCTCAGGGACCGGTGATGCCAGATACATATATACGATGTAAACTGCTGAAAATGTATCACGAGCAATATAAATAGTGTTAACACGGCTAGAAAAAATAGCAACAGCAAAAGACTTTGCAGTTCAATCAGAGGTATGGGTGCTGTTATCAGATTTGTACCCAAATGGAGGCTTCTTTTTCAAAAATATAATCTCTCTAAACCAAATTAACCCCCGATGTAAGCCCGCTGAAGTTGATGGTGTTACTGGGCAACACAAGGTAGCTTGACTCTTTTGCTTGTTTTCCGCTTATTTTAGCAGAGACAGCATCGTTTTACATCGCTGGCCATGAGCGAGAGCGTGAGGATTACCAGCTAATTCAAGGCTCTGAAGGGCTGCATTGCTGTGAAGGGTTTCATTTGGATCCATTTTGTGTTTCTGAGGACATAGCCTAAGCTGTGTACACGAAAAAAAAAGGTAAGGCGCAGCCCAGAAGTTGCAGAGATGTAAAAATTAGCCAAAAAAAAAAAAAGCGCCACTACCAACAAAAACTATCAGAAAGTGTGAAAGTCACCTGGATGGCTCCTAAGGGGTTTACACGTTTGTGTGATTAGAGTCATATTTATAGGAAATTCTTGTCACTTCTCCTCACACTCAGTGGGTCTGTAAAACACATCACTGCTGCTCTCAGCGTTTGGGAGAGCTGCTGAAAACAGGAGAACGTGTGCAAGAGGGACAAACCTCAGGAGCAGGGTGCCTGGGGCCCGCACACGTCCCATGGGTCGCACCTCTTCCTCCATACAGGCTCAGGCAGCGGGTTTTAACCAAAGTGAGACACCGATGCCAAGGCATGCCCGGAGCCTGATGCCCCCCAGTCCGTCGCCACGTCATCCTGGTGTTGGGGGGGCGAGGGGACGCGCAGCCCCGCGGCAAGCTCAGGCTTTTCGGACGGAGCAGCATCGCACGCTTGCCCTGTTCTCGCGCTCTTCGCCAGCGTGCGCGGTTGGCCGCCGACGGACGTAGGGCACCGGCAGCCAACCGCGATCTTGCCACCGTGGCCACCCCAGGCACTTACGCGAGCAGCTGCGGTGGATGCTGTGCGCTAGAGCCGAAGGAGCTGGTTAACAAGGACGTTCTGGGTTTGCCTCAGGCGGCGGTTTGCGGTGCCAAAGCAGTGCAGAGGGGCAGGGGGATGGGATCTCCTCTCCCGCCGACACAACTAGGTCCTGAATAATGTACAACAGCAGCAGCAACTCTTGGCACCAACCTGCAAGAAAACAGCTGGGGTTTAAAAAAATAAAACACAAGGGCCCCATTAAAAATTGACATCCTCAATAACAGGACCTTGTTCATATGTCAACTTAAAAATCTCGGTGTTCTCCAACAGAGTTGTAAGATCTAGAAGGCAGTAATTGCTACAGTCCGTGATTTCCTGAGCGCCGCGTGCTCTGCCCGGCACAAGGGCTTGCCCGAACGGAGGGGCGAGCGAGGGAGAGCCAGAGGCAGCCGCAGAAGAGGCGGAGAAGCAAAACGAAAGAGAGGAAGAGCCCAAGCGTGGGATGGCAATCCCGCCTGCCCTTCTGAACTGATATTTGATTTCTAAGCGTTCCACAACACGGCATTGACACATCTACTTCTCTCGCAGGGCTGTCCGGTTTAATACGTTTCAGGTTGCCAGTGTTACATTTTGAAACCTCACCCCACCTATTTCCCCCAGCAGGAGCTCCTCAGGCAGAAGAAGGGGTATTTCTTCTTCCAGTTGTCAGAGGGATGTGTTAGGGCAGGTAATATATATAAATTAACAACAAAAGGCATGCAGAAAACAGCCAGAGCCCTGAACCAGAGATAAAAGCCTAAACAAGTGCACTGAAGTGTAAGGTTAAACGGGGAGGGAAAAGCCATTAGGGACAGTAGAGCTTTGGAAAAGAGTAGAAACAATCCTTAAGGAAGAAGAGCTGCTGAAGTATGTAATAAAGACAAAGAAACAGAAGCCCCAAAAACACGGAGAGCTACTGCTGGAACTCGGGACAATACAAATGACTTTCCCCGGTCAAAACGGGCTCTGAACGAGAGCGCTGCTCCTGGCGCAAAACGCTATTGCTGATCGTCTGACAGCTTGCAAAGACTGGCTGCCTGAACGCAAACAGGAGCAACCGTGTCACGGCAAAATAATAAAACACAGCAATCGTTTTGTTGGCTTGTCACATATTACAGCTAATTATTTAATTACTCTAATTTAAAGTTTTACTAGATTCAGCATCAAAGCCTAAAAATCTAGTGATTGCAATGTCAGAAAGGAATAATATAATTAACGTATTTAGTAGTAACATATTAAACTGTTGATTGCACTGCATTAATCGGCAGAGACGCCACACGGGAAGCTATACGAAAGACATGTCCATAGGGGCCTGCGTTGCCTCTCTGCCCGCGCCTACGCCTACACGTCCTCATGGACGGACGTGCAGGTGCGACCGGGGCTCACTTCTGCTGCAAAGCGTCCGTGTGGGCACGCGAGCCATAAAGCTTGGGCTGAAGGTGAAGAGCCCAGCCTCATCGCCGCAGAGGCACAGCCGGCGCACGAGGCCTCGCGGCACATCCGCCCAAAGACCGGACGACACACCTGGGGACACCGCGACTGCTCCCGGGGTTGTGCTGCACCGACCCTGAAGCTGCCCTGATTTACGCTGAGAGCTGGGCAGAGCCCACAAACCTCAGCTCAGCGCAGGTCTCCCCGCACAGGCACGTACCCCAGAGTCAAGCATTTAAAAGACGAATGCTTGATTCCCTGAGATATCCACGAGACCCCCCAAACTCAGGCGCAGCCGCAGTAGTCAAGCTCTTGAAGGAATTGGCCCTTTCTTTCGGCAACTTCCGCCAAAACTGGCTTCCTGTTCACCGAGCAATTAGAACTAGAAAAGTTGTTTCCGCCTGACATAACCTAGTAACGTTTAACTTCATTCTTCCTCCATTGCTCCAGAGCCAGGCAGCCAACAGAGGGAGCACAAATTCCTGAGCAGGGCTTCATCCTGGGCTCTGCTGATCCGGCCGGCTGCAGTCAACAGCGGGTGGCACGGGCACACAAACCGGGAGCAGCGAAAGGCCCTGGCCTTCGAGGCGCAACGTGCTCTGAATTGCCCTCCCCTGCGACAGGCCACAGAGCAGCGCAGCTCCTCAGAGGACCTGAGCCCAAATAACAGCCGTGATTTAAAAAAATGAAAATGAAGCACGGCATAAATAAATAAACAAACAAAATGCCAGTCTGCAAAGAAAGGATGCAAAACAGTGAGAGAGAATAGGGGCATATTTTTTGGGCTTATCTACCAAACGCTTCCTTGGGCACAAAGGGAAAGACACCAAGATAAAAAAGATATTAGGTGAAATATACAGGCAAGTATGGACACAGGTGTATAATAATTATAAATTATACCAATTTATGTTTTCGGATGAATTTCTGGCTGTAATCAAAGACTATACATTTCTTTTTCTCCCTCAGTAAGCACTGTTGCCTGTTTGCCTTTCTTACGAGACAAGTCACGTTCTCGAGCAGCACGTAAATAGGCACATGCAATAGAAATGCTCTTTGCACCAGCCCTGCTCCTGCACCCTGGTCCATCCAAACGTAGTCTTCTCTGCAGCCACCTTTGGGACAGTTAAGTAACTGTTTTCTACGGCAGTTGTTTTTTCATCCCAGCTGAAAATGCCATAATACTATAGTTTTTAGATTACAGTTAGCAATCAGACATAGCCAAGTTGGGGCTCCTCAGTGTGCTGCTTCTCAGAGATAATCCAACGCCTAGGCTGCGCTGCTCAGAGAGGGACAAACTTGGTGGGGTTTCACAACAACAAATGAGAGATTGATGAGGACAGCAGAAGGGGATATCTGTATGAGCCTAGCTGCAAAAACTGAGACTGTCCCAGTTGTCTATTACTCCTAATCCAAGCAGAAATGAGGCACCGCTGCAAGACTAACACTAACTGTATTCTTCAAATTAAAAGAAACCATTTACTTATTTTTTTCTCCCAAAATAACAGAATTCAAATACTGTTTGAAAAAATACATTTTCGTTTTCCACCTCACTGCATCCAATGATTGTGGTGTGATTATTAAACACTTCATAAATAATAATGTGACATTTTCAGATTGTGCATCTGATTAAGCAGCCATTCTTCTCTCCCTGACTGAGACCACGGACAGATGAGATTGCTGCAGATGCGGCAATCTTTGTGGCGCTTTCCCTGGGGACCAGGGATCAGAAGTCACTCCTGTAACCCAATTAAATCCAAGAAGATATGAGCTGATCACTTCGAGCCAGCTCCAAAATTCACAGCCATCCATGGGCAGTCTTGACATTAACTTCTCTGAACTGCAAATCTGGTCCATGAACACAGCTTGATGCCCTTTCGAAGGAGGGTATTTTACACTGTGAGTCACTCTGCAGTGGGCAGTTTCACTGAATTATGGTTTAGTATTAGGGAGCCTGCTCTAACACAAAGAAGCAGTCCCAAACGAAGGCCTAACTAAATCAAGGGACTAAAATACAAGCAAGGGAAAACAGTCTTGTCTTTGGAGGAGAGAGGAGTCATCGGAAAGCAAAAAAGTGAACCCGAGAGATAAATACTCTCTCATGGAGGAATCAGGGTCCTTTGAGGATCAACACTAGGCAGGGACCCTTGTCAGAAAGTTTACTGCACATCTTTCACATCCAAAAAACATTTAGTAAAGTTACTTATTAAATAAAGACAAAATCCAATGTCATTTATCCCCTGGTTATTCCAGTGCCTAAGATGCAGCTGTGCTGCTCAGAGCTGTCATATAGAGCAGCGCAGATGTCAGCGAAAGGAACAATCCTCTAACCCAAATTCTCTCTTCCTTTTCACAGCATTCGTATAAGTTAATCCTAGTCAAAAAAAAAAATGCTTTTTTTTTTTTTCTGAGCACAATTGCCATTTCAGAAAAATGACCAAAGAAAGCAGTCCCTTGCCGTAAACCCTCCCAACCATCTGTCTGGATATTACTGACCTTTAATATTATGCAGGCGGGAGGTGGAAAGGACAGGGTAAGAAATGGGGGGGGAGGAGGCGTGGAAAAATGTCATTGCTGTAACAATGGCTTATTGCGTTTGGATAATCTCGCTTCTTGTACCGCTGCTAACATGGTAATCTTTCTCCACCTCCTGTATGTCAATAATGCAATAACCTCTCTCTCCCCTTGCATCAATAACACAACAGCCGCTCTCCGCTTTCAGCAGCACTGATGAATTCTGGAATTGCAACAGCTCAGATGGTCCACGCTAGCTTGTCCCTGCCTCCCACCCTCATTACATTTTAATTTCACTTTAAAGACAGTTGCTATCAGCATTGTTTGGCTACAGCTTCTGCAAAATAAAAGCGAGATCAGGCTATATTTGAACTCTGGAGGTTCCTCAAGTCAGTGCAGGTGCCAGGATATCTTATATCAATGTTGTTTCTTTTTCTTTCTACATTCTCAGTTGAACAATTAAGGTAAGATTTACCAAAGACTTTACTGGCCAACAGCTCGATGTATTCTCCAAGAAAGCTGCTGTAAACTCAGCTCTTCTGAAAACCTGACCCTTATGCTTCAATGTATGGATGGAGGGTGAGATTCTCAGCTCGCTGTCCCCATTGCAGCCCTCAGACCTGCGCTGATTATACTTACTATACCAGTGCACTAGCTATTGATTAATCAGTGTTGTTTTAAGGCATAAACATACACAAGTGCTCTCCACAGACAAGTTAAGCAAATTAGGATTAAAAATATCAATACAATAAGAACAGATAAAAGATAGTTAGAGCCAAGTGATGTGACAGGTTGGAAAAAAAGAGAGATCTGAAAGCATAATCAAGTAAGCTTAATATCAGAGAGCATATGGTAAAAAGATCTTGCAAGAGAATCCTTAATACGACAGTGGGCCTCACATACTGATTAATATCACCTCCTCTGTACAGTCTAGCATGGATGGATTCAAGAAGAGGCTGATAATTTTCAGAAATGCCGCTCCTCGTAATGATAGAAGATGAGGCTTTGTGAGTTATGTTGAGAATTATTGGCAAAGGTTAGGTGATTTCCCACTGGTGCTAGAGGGAAAACATTGCTTGCAAATTACCAGCATTTGTCAGTACTAATACCACATCCCCCAGCCACCTAAACTGTCAACATTAATAGGAGTCTTTACAGCAAAAGGGGGTGAAGATAGTCAGACTTGATCAGACCTTGAAATGAGAAGAAGAGCGTGATACAGAGAATAA